CTAAAATTTAGTAGCTTCATATTCTTTGTTTGTTTTACCTATTATTATTAAGATGATGATGTCAATTTTTTAAAATTTCTGAAACGTGTGCACTGTCAAAGGTACCAGTAGTCCCTAACAATGAAATATAGTCATACAAAAGTTAACTAAGGTATAAACATGCAAAAGGAGAAGTCTCCCTGCGATCATAAAATGATGTTATTTTCTGTTCAGCAGTTCATGTTACTGCTGTTCATGCTAATTAATTAAAGGAGCTGTTGCAGTAATGTGCAAACAGGGAATCTGAGAAACTGAGAGGGCTTTTAGGTCTCCAAGTGAAGTTAAGTCAATCTGGGCGCGGGCAATCAAATGTAATGAAATCACTTGTCAGTGCTAAGCTTGCAAAAACTGTGAAGTTTGACTAGGGAGTAAAAGGATTATAATTAGATTTCCAATAGGATAATAACTAAATGGCAGAATGCAGTAAAGAGAAAATATTACTTTGTTAGCTAATGGTACTGCTGTTCGGTTTTAGTTTTTATCAGCGCACTTGTAGTTGTGCTAATTTAATTTGCTTTTATCAGCAAAAATGCACTACGCAAATGGCACTTGAATGTCATTTGCAAAAATCATTGATCTGAAGGTGCACTTAATGACACCTGGTATGTTTATTTTATGTGAAAAAGAGATTGGTTGATAAGATGGTTGATGTGCTGTCTTGCAGGCCCTCAACTGAGTTATAGCAATCTGGATGAGATTATATCAGAGTGTATGCTCCATCGAATGCTTCACCTCCAGGGATAGTGGACACTGCCATCAGAGTGAGTATGTATTCATTGTTTGATGACATACAAAAATTCAGGAAGAGTTAAATGATAGATTGCTAAAATATAAGGGATACAGATCTCCTATTATTGGAAGGTCATCCATGCATGATATTTTGTCTGTTGAACATTCAAAGTATTCAAGACATGAAACAAACAAATTGAAGAGACTTAATTTCATAAATATAAGAATCCTGGTACATAAGCAGTTTATCTCCTTTAAATTCCACGTGGAAACTATATTTTTAAAAACTGTATATGACTTTACTGCTTCTAAGGGTGGCCTACAACATTTTTCCAAGACTTCTTTAAATTCTCTTAAGAAGATGTCACAGTGGAACTAATTGAATTTCAAAGGGAGCACACTAGTTGAAGGATAGATTTCTATCCAGCAGAGCTATTGACAATATGAAGAGAAAGGACTTCACTGACAGCTGGAATTGTTTGCTATGATGGAGATGAGTTTTGGAACTGGCATTGTATTGGCATGCATGAATTGACACTCACAAACGATGGTAGGAAATAACCTTTCAAATTAAAAAATGAGTTATTGAGGGAGGTGGAAAAGATGAAAATAGTATCAAAATAAGTCACAAGAGGAAAGAATTAATAACACACACTGGCAAAATTGATAGGAACAATGGAAAAATAATGGATTAAGTATGCATTTAATGTTTTTCAAACATTTTACGTTTTCTGAGGTACGTTTTTTAGTGCTGAGAATATCATATAATAGGCAAAATGATTATATTAGGGGGATAGTTATCTGGCCTGATAGATTTGTTGAACTATATTTAAGATTTTTAGTTCTGATATTTGCAAATGCCCATTTCTCTGGCAAAGGGAATAAATAATTTTTACATACAAACACAAACTTCTTTTAGACATTAAATTGTAATTACTCTGTTGTATTGACACAAGACATTCACTAGAGTTTTTGTATAAAGTGGTAATGGAAGCTTTATCATTTATAGTACTTAAATATTGTGCTGAGAGAGGGAAAATATATACTTTTCTACTTTTATCATATATATTAAAATATTATTTAATACAGTCTAAAAAGCAAATACTCAAAGAATTCTTAACCATCCATATTTTATCATATATGAGCAACAGTAAGCATAAATATGACACAATTTGGCTTGTAAATTGAAAAAAAAATAAAAGTCCATTTTGTTCCTTTAAAATAAGTTCTATCTCAGTCCTTTCAACAGTGTATCTAAATCTCTCATGTTTATTTCACAAAAACTAGTTGAACTTATTAAAGGTGTACTCAGTAAAAATAAATATTAAATGTGTTCTTTCCTAAGCACAAGTTAATATGCAAAGGCTCTTTGCAAGCTTCATAGAATAAAAATTGGGGGTCAAATGAAGAGTAAATCTACTTTCTGTCTGTTGTTTAGAAATAAAGTAAGTTTAGGGCAATTCAAAAGCTTGTGTTTTTTGTTTTTGTGTATGTGTGTGTGTTTTTTTAATCTCAATAGCTAGTAAAGGTGCTTCCTGTGAACAAGCATAATTATATAAATTAAATGAATAGCAATGAATTGGAGGTACAGGCTTAAAGTAAAGGTAAAATCTTCTAGTGGTGTGTTTGGTTTGCCCCCTCTAGTTCCAAAGCTGAACTTACATCCCACTCAAAACAGTGGCACAATCAAGCTCAATGCTCCTTAAAGACTGTGTCTATATTTGTGTGTCACGATTCAGAAGGGATCAAAAGCTTCAAAGTATTCATCCTTACCATGGCCCTGATAATATGATGACAACTTCAAATATCAGGCCCCCAAGTAGCGGAACTTTTTCCCAGAATTTAGCTGTGTGAATTAGTTGAACACACACTGAATGCTATTCAAATTGGCTTTGCTCAAACAGCACAGCCTTTAAGCTGAGAGAAGAAAGCAGGCAAGCCAAAAAGGGATAACAAACAGCAAAAGCTTCATTAAATGAGCTAAGTGTGCACGCTTTCACACTAACAAAGTTAATGCATTAGTTTGGTCTACCTAGCTGCAGCAGAATCAGGAATTAGAAGATCCATGAGCTCTGGTGCTAATGGTTATGTAAAGATGACTCATAAAACTTCAGTAATGGAAGTTTTTAATTTTCCTGAAGCTGTCACATAAAATGATGACTCTTGGGTGAAACCAAACGAATCTTTTGGTCATGTCCATACCTGGACATGACCAAATGACTGTAAATCAAGTCATTTTGCACAGTAGAAAGGCACTGGTTAGACCTCCAGCAAGTACTTTCTGTCTGTTGTTTAGAAATAAAGTAAGTTTAGGGCAATTCAAAAGCTTGTGTTTTTTGTTTTTGTGTATGTGTGTGTGTTTTTTTAATCTCAATAGCTAGTAAAGGTGCTTACTGTGAACAAGCATAATTATATAAATTAAATGAATAGCAATGAATTGGAGGTACAGGCTTAAAGTAAAGGTAAAATCTTCTAGTGGTGTGTTTGGTTTGCCCCCTCTAGTTCCAAAGCTGAACTTACATCCCACTCAAAACAGTGGCACAATCAAGCTCAATGCTCCTTAAAGACTGTGTCTATATTTGTGTGTCACGATTCAGAAGGGATCAAAAGCTTCAAAGTATTCATCCTTACCATGGCCCTGATAATATGATGACAACTTCAAATATCAGGCCCCCAAGTAGCGGAACTTTTTCCCAGAATTTAGCTGTGTGAATTAGTTGAACACACACTGAATGCTATTCAAATTGGCTTTGCTCAAACAGCACAGCCTTTAAGCTGAGAGAAGAAAGCAGGCAAGCCAAAAAGGGATAACAAACAGCAAAAGCTTCATTAAATGAGCTAAGTGTGCACGCTTTCACACTAACAAAGTTAATGCATTAGTTTGGTCTACCTAGCTGCAGCAGAATCAGGAATTAGAAGATCCATGAGCTCTGGTGCTAATGGTTATGTAAAGATGACTCATAAAACTTCAGTAATGGAAGTTTTTAATTTTCCTGAAGCTGTCACATAAAATGATGACTCTTGGGTGAAACCAAACGAATCTTTTGGTCATGTCCATACCTGGACATGACCAAATGACTGTAAATCAAGTCATTTTGCACAGTAGAAAGGCACTGGTTAGACCTCCAGCAAGGGACATATTAATTGTCTTAAATTTTCAAAGTAAGGAAATACTTTTCTCATGGAAATACCTTTTTGGTTTTATCAAAGTGAAACATTTTTCAAAGTAAATGTAAAAATAAATGTAAGCTGTATATAAAGTGCTATAAAACTGCATTAGGATCACATTGGAAAATTTCCAGTGGTCAAAACTTGCATTTTTAGGTGTTTTTGCACTGCAGTGAGACTCTATATTTGTTAGGTCTCTTTTTTTACTGCCTTTTTTTTTTTTTAAATTTAGTATAGTGAATGTGCATTTGTGGACAGAGAAAGAGAGACAGAGAGAGACTGGAAAAATGAGAAAGCACCACAAAGCAAGGATGGCCATGCCACAGTCCCTTCCTCTCCATTCTCTTATTGGAATTTTGGGCATGCACACATACACGCCTTGTGTGTTTTTAAGCCGCTGGGGTCAGGATTCAAAGCACACAGTTGGATGTGGTATCCAGCTGCCTTAATGGTCACACCACCTGGCTGGCCTCTTATTATTAAGTTGAAAACAAAATATGTTAAAGAATCTAAGTATTTATGGGAATTCTGGAATCATGAATTACAAGTCATGCTCTTTTTTCCATATTTAAGTGTTTTCTAAGATTAGAATTAAAATTAAAAGGTTGATTTAAAAATGTCCTCTAGAACACCTCTAAAATACTGATAGGTTATAATTATTATACCTATGGTTTTTACAAGCAATAAAATAGTGAATTTAAAAAATATATTGTACACTTATGAGCAGTAAATTACCTTTGTATTTATGCATTTTTAGGAAATGCCTAAAATCTAAATGTACATTCTTTTAATAACTAAACATAAGAAATTTGCTCACGTTGTATATGTAAAACTATTAGTCCACAAGTATCTGTACTGGTATTAGGTTTTCAAAGATATACTAAGTATTTTTTTTTCCTGAAAGAAAAATGCATTGCAAATTACTTCCTGTGTCATAAAGTAAGAAAAGTCAAAATCATTTAATTTACTTATATGAAATGATTCAGTATAAGAGCCCATTCCCACTCCACCCATAGGTGTGACATATTACCCGGTTGTAGAAAGAAGTATGCTATTTACTATACCTTGCATAGCAGCACTATCATGAGGAGTCCCATTGTTTTCTATTTCAATATCTGGAATTCCAGTGTCTGAAAGAAGTGATATTAAAGAATAAGCTACAATTCTGTGTTTCTTGATCCCATTTAAAGACAAAACTCCAGTAAGTCAATACTTTGATCCTATAGATAATATAAGACCTTGGGTGGCATGTTTTTTGTTTTTATGTTTTTTTTTTTTTTGTATCATTTGTTTTTTGGTTTTTTTTGGAAAAGTTTTTGCTATAGAGCACGTATGCTCACCAGAAAGACAGAGAGAGACAGAGAGACAGAAAGCAAGAAATCACCGCCCCCCCCAGAGTGGGTAGCCATGCCACAATCCCTTCTCCTCCACTCTCCTCTCTATATCTTGGGCACCGGCGTGAGTTTAAGCCACCAGGTCCAGGACTCGAACCTCAGTTGACTACATGGGAGTCCAGTGACATAGCCATTAGGCCAACTTCTGGTCTGGTATCATTTGTTTTTAATAGTAGAAGGGAGGATTATAAACTGGTGCTGAATTCTACAATTGGGTTTATACTTCCAAATATATGATAAATACTCCTTTGGTCATTTTATTTCCTAAAAATAAATCTTTGAAAAATAATTTGTTCATAAAATCTCCTATGAATTTCAGGTTAATATTCTCTGATTGAAGAAAAAGATGATGGACCCAGCTACATAAGTGGAAGTATCTCATCTTTATAGTGTGTATTTTCCATTTGCAAAATGCAATAAGTTATATTATCTTTTTTTTTTTTTTGGAGAGGTTTTTGCTATAGGGTGCGTGCGCTTGTCAGACAGACAGAGAGAGACAGAGAGATAGAAAGCGAGAAATCATCCCCCAGGGAGGGATGGCCACACCGCAATCCCTTCTCCTCCATTCTCCTCTTGGGATCCTGGGCACGCACGCACACACGCCTGGCGTGAGTTTAAGCCACTGGGTCCGAGACTTGAACCACGGTCGACTACGTGGGTGTCCAGTGACATAGCCATTATGCTAACTGCTGGTACCATAAGTTATACTATCTTTATGGCAAGTGCAAGTGAAGACCAAAATATATATTATGATTTGTGGTCTTTATGCGATATTGATTCTAGGGGCAAATATTTTTTCTATTATGCTCTTTAGATAAGTTCTAAAAGTTAGTAATTGTGATGTAAGTAGTTTCTATGTGTGTATGTTTATTTACCAGAATATTTATTTTAAATTGTATGTGAATGAGATAAAACAATGTTATGGAATTTCAGGATTAAAAATAAAATAAAAAATACAGTTAAGAGATTTTATGGTGTGACAACTACTTCCTACAGGAACTCCAAAGATTTACTTAACGCCATCTTTTTCAGCCAAGCAGTCCTTAAGCACCTCAACACTGAAGCAATCTGTGTTAAAGAAAGTGCATCCTCTAGCTGATCAAAATAAGTGTTCATCAAATATCAACATGAATGGACCTAAAGCACTTACATTTTAGGTATACAGAGGTTATCAGTGTTACTGCTTCTACTGCAAAAGTCAGCAGGATTTCCTGTTATTCACAGGCTATTTGTATCTCCCAGAACAGGGATTATTTTGACTGGTTTAATTCATGACCTAAAGAATTTGGCTTCAAATTGATTTTTTAATTATTCCTAGACAAAGTATTTCTCCCTCCCTCCTCTCTCCCTTTCTTCTTTCCTTTCCTCCCTTCTCCCTTTCAAATCAGGTTTTGCTTTGTTTACCTTGAGTGTGAAAGTCCAAATCAGACATTACCTTTCAACATTCTCAGGCCACTGTCACTAGTAGTAGCTTGCTTAAGTGCCTGCTCCACTTGCTCCCGGCGTTTTGATTCAAATTCCAAGGCTTCTTGCAGTTTTCTCTTGGCTTTTTTCTCCTTCTTCAGTCGCTTCTGCATGGTAGCTGTAATTTGAAAATGTAGTTTGCAAAATGGCTTGGTCAATGTAATAGGGTTGATCATTTTGATTAATTATAAACCAGAGATAGAAATAGAGAGCAATATTAAAAATCTATCTGTTGATGTGTTTTTAGCTTCTTTTGATCCCAGTTCTTATTGGGCTCATCCAAAGTGTGACTTGTTTACTATGGTTTAATTATTTAATTGAGTTCTTTTTATTTTACATATCCAACACGTATACTCTATAATACACATGCATTCGCATAGTGGTACCAGTGGGGATGGAGAATTGTTTTCTCCTGACTCACTACATGCACTTTATCACTAATGTATTTAATAGTTCATAATTTAAAATATTCTTATTTCTCAGGCTATTGTTATTTACATTTCAAAATGAAAAAAGAAATCCCTGAAAATTTCTACCCAGTTGCAAAACATGGGCTTTGAAACTGAAGGTGGGAAATTTTTACTTCTTTTTATATATGTAAACGTTTTAGAGATAATAACTTCCAGCAATGTTTATATAAGCACATTTGGAAAGCGCACCACAACAGTGTTTCTCTGGAAAGCAGAAAGCTAAAGAAGAGCTAACATAACAGCTATACTCCAGCTGTTAAGGCTTTAGGTTTCAACTAGAACACTCACTGCCCTAATGAATGATTGTTTCTGTATACTGAAACCTTGAAATCTGTGAAAGTTTTTTAAATAGGATTATTGAGCTCCAGCAATATTATTTGCTCACAGCAAAGTTCCCAGCACATTGATCTCACATTTTCCCTAAACTGATTTTTAAAATTACGTTATTAATGTTATGACACTAGAAAAACTAATCAGGGAACATTAAGCAAAATAATAAATTGTGTGACATTTAAAAATACTAAATGCAGGACCAGCAGGTAGCACAGTGGTTAAGTATCTAGACTCCCACATGGTTGACTGCAGTTCAAGTCCTGGACCTGACTTGAAAATCACACTGGGTGTGTGTACATGTTTGCCCAGAATTCCAGGAGGAGAATAGAGTAGAAAGGATTGTGGCATGGCCATCTCCTATTGGGAATGATTTCTCACGTTCCATTTTACCATCTCTGTCTCTTTCCTGCTAGCACACATGCCCTATGGCAAGAACCTTGAAAAAACTAAAGGTATTCAAAGTAATTAAAACATTTTGAATGAATATGATGCTAACTTGAGTTTCAATTGTGTTCATCTCACATTTCACTATTTTTTCATATAAATGATGTTCAACAACTTGAAGAGAGTCAGTTTCCAAGAAATTTTCATATAAATGATGTTCAACAACTTGAACAAAGTCAGTTACCAAGATAAATTTCTGTTCACTTGAGACAAAAATTCAGAGATCCAAGATCATAACCAAATGGAATATTTGGAACAAAAACACTAAAAATATATGGTTTCTATTATTTTTTAATGAAAAATGCTCAATAAGATTAAAATAAAAGTATTTTATTATTATACATATACTGTTATTCAAATAAAGCATAAAAATTATTTAAATCAGAAACCTAGATGTATTCAAATTGATGCTTAATAATGTTCTTGATAAGACAAAATTTTGCTTCTAGTTAAATTATTGGTTCAAAAATAGTTGTATGTTAACTCAGTTGAAATTTATGATTTCATATATAGTAAATAATATCACCACACACTATATTTAAAACTATATAAACAATAAAAACTATGATATATTATGAAACTACTGAGCATTTTGTTGGGAATATATCATATTTAGGCCTTATAACGACCTGATAAGGAAAAGACTATTATCTCCATTCTATAGATTAAGAAACTAAATCCTTAAAAAGTCAAGAAATGTACCCAATATCATACAGAGGTTTCAAAGCTTGAGGACCAATGATCACATGAGGTGTCACCTACATGCCCATCCTTCACTATTTTTAGTCTGGTCTATTGCAGCCATCAGTCCTTCTTGGTTTTTTTTTTTTTTTTTTTTGTAGAGGTTTTTGCTCTAGGGCACATGTGCTCACCAGAAAGACAGAGACAGAGAGACAGAAAGCGAGAAATCACCCCCCAGGAAGGATGGCCATGCCTTCTCTATTCTCCTCTCAGTATCTTGGGCACACATGCACACGCACCTGACATGAATTTTTTTTTTTTTTGAGAGGTTTTTGCTATAGGGTGAGTGTGCTCGCCAGACAGACAGAGACAGACATAGAGACAGAAAGCGAGAAATCACGCCCTCCCCCCACCCCCAGGGGGGATGGCCACGCCGCAATCCCTTCTCCTCCCTTCTCCTCCCGGGATCTGGTTTAAGACTTGAACCGCAGTCAACCATGTGGGTGGGAGTCTAGTGATATAACCATTATGCCATCTGTTGGTCCCTGATTTTAAGTATTTAATTGGTAAAGAATATTGTTATATATGTATACATGTGCTTAATTCAACTAACTAGCAACTAAAAGGTAATTAGGTAGAATGTTTTACTGTGGAACATTGCTTTCTTTAAAGGAAAATAAAAGTCATAAAAAATTTTAAAAACACATATATATAAACATAGTTTACTGTAGTTATGTATAAATTTATGTAAGTAGTCACATGTGTTTTTTTTATATATATAGGCTATTCAAAAAAGTTCATGGAAAATATATATTATGAAAAACCAGTGCATGATTTTCAGGGTTTTTTTGTTTCAAGGCAAACTCATACTTTAGCTACATTTTTCTATGATCTTTTTGATATACACTATCCTTACTATATAATTGGACAGTATAGAGTACTCTATTACGATAACACCAATTTTCCTGTCTTTTCCATTATGTGACTTTTGTATTGAGTATGAGATATTTAAGGAATTAGAAAAGAATTTAAGTGTTTATTGTATTCAACTATTGTAGTGGATTAGGATACAGTACTGAGATGTATAGAGATGAAGTAGATAGTTTCTCTAAATCAATAAGTATAACAGAGTAGTTCTCTATCATTATGTTAGTTATTAGGTGTAAAACTCTAAAACCACAGTGGTTGACTCATACTAGACAGTTAATAAGAACTAGCTAGTAGTAGCAGGAGTAGTGATGTAGTAATGGTAGTAATAGTACTTGAAATAATTACATTAGTAGTAATAAAGTTCGCAATAGTGGAATCATTATTATATTGCAATAAATGCTAAGTTTACTGAATACAAGTATTTTATAGTATGTTTGATAATATATTTAATTTTGTATCTACTATGTCTAGGAATTTTTGAAGGTTAATAAATATGATACCAATTATAAATGTAGACCTCAGGAGTCTATGAAATGTTAGAGGAAATCAGTATGAGTAGATTCCTAAAAGCTAGAAGCCAACTTTATTATCTGTAGTAGGCTTTCATATGTCAATTTAAGAATATTATGTTATATATGCATCTGGGTGTGTATATTTAATGTTTTTTTTGCCATAGGACTCATGTACTCTCCAGAGACTCACAGAGAGAAACAGAGAGAGGGAAAGTGAGAAATCACACCATACGGAGAATGACCATAACTACAATCCCTTCTCTTCCATCTTTCTCTCAGGATTTTGGGCACACATGCACACATGTCTTGTAAGATTTTCAAGGTGCCAAATCTGAGACTTGAACCACAGTTGGCTATGTGGGAGTCAAGTGCTTTAACCACCATGATACTTGCTGGTCCCAAGAATCTTATTATATTTAACATATTTTTCTTTTTAGTCTAAACCACTATCTTACTAAAGAAATGTAAGTTATTATGACTCCTAAACATAATACTCTATTTTGCATACCAAATATCAAAAATATACTGATTTCTCCAAAATTTATGAAGACGATTTAGTTTCTGTTTTGTAGAATTAGTAAATTTGGCAAGAAGAAATAAAATAAATATAATTATTTTTAAATACAATGACTGAATTCCCATTTCGAACTACATCAGTATTCCTTAGGCCCTAAGAAAAATATATAGTATGTTTTCATTCTCTTGAAATACATTTTGGAGTCTAATATGCTACTTTGCATTAGTACAGATCAGTGAATTTCACTCAACTAAAGACATTTTTTTCCTGTTAAAAGAGAAATTCAGATTATAGATTTTTTTCTCCTTTCTTTCCCTCTCCTTTCTACTCTTTAATTCATTATTTTAGGGCCTGTAACTCACCCACAGAACAGTAATATGGTAGAAAAAGAAGGTGAAATTCATAGTAGTCACTTTTTTTGTTCTTCAATATTTTATGATAAATGTATGGATGTGGAAATTATTGACTAAAGTGAGGTTTCAAATTTTCTGTGGTTTTGATAGAAACCATTCTCATTTATTCTTTACTGTAGATAATCAAATGGCTTCCACAGTTGAATGTTAATTCTATTTATGAACAATTCAGTATTTCTCCATTCTCTTCCCTTTATTTTCATCCCTATTTCTGCTACCTAAATTTAGTCCTTATTATCATTGCCTGGATGTGAATACTCCCTTTTTGCTTAGTTTCCTTGTTTCTAGTTTTATAACAAATCTTCCTCTAGTCTATTTCCAACACTAGAATGTTCTATCCATTAAAGTCAGATCATATCATCTCCACATTTTTTAATACTTCCCATTATGTAGTGAAAAGTACGCTGCATAATTTACTTTCTATTTCCATCTTTCTGCATCTTCTTCCACCACTGACTTCATAAAACTCAAAGCCACTGTACAAACAAGTTGTATATAGTCATCCATGTATGAAGTTTCTTTTTTATTAGTTTTATATATTCAATTGCTATACATAATTTAGCTTGTATAAAGAATTTAACCAACATGAAATATACCTCAGACGAGTCCAATTGAGAATACTATATATGTAATCATCAGCAGGTAATAAATAATTTATGTGTCCCTCAAATATCTTATCTATTTTCCTCCCTATTTACCTTCGCTACACTCTTCCCCTCTCCACCCTCCTTCCACACTGGCTCCAGTGTCCATAACTATTTTCAATATTTTTATGTCTTCTAATCTCTCAGTCTCTACCATAGAGTGCAGACAGTCGGTATATGTTAAGTGGAGACATACAATGTCCCTGTTTCATAGCCTGACTCACTTCACTCAGCAATAAATCTAACATATTCATCCACTTCCTATAAAATGCCAAGGCCTTGTGGTTTGTTACGACTGAATAGTATTCCATGGAGCATATGTGCCACACTTTTTCAATCCATTCATCTGTTTGTGGACATTTGGGTTGGTTCCATGTCTTAGCAATTGTGAATAATGCCACAATAAACATAGATGTGCAAGCACTTTTCCAACTTAGCATTCTCCTATCCTTTGAGTAGATACCCAGGAGTGGAATAGCTAGGTCTTGTGGTAATTATATTTGTAGTTCTTTGAGGAACTTCCATATTGTTCTCCATAGTGGCTAGAGACCAATTTACATCCCTATCTCTGTGTTTATACTGATATCTCTGGATTAAAAAGCCAACTCACTCAGGTATGTCCAAGTTCTTTTTTAGTCAACTTTTCCTTCAAGACTCAGATTTTGGTGTAATTATCAGTAAGTCTTCCATAATCACCTCACCACCACTATCAAGCTAAGCTAACTTTCCCCTCTTTATTTAATAATATAGACTGTGTTTCATTATTCTTGCCACTTTGTTTAGAAACTCACTGGTTGTACTAGTTTTCTAAATGTATATATCTCTTGAGAGGGATGAATGAATATTATTTTTTTAATTTATTTATTTTATTCCTTACATTTTTAGAAATTATTTTTGCATTTCATTTTCTTCCATACATTCAATCACATTATTATTTGTCTTAAAAAATGGATATTTCAACAGGTGAACATTTCTCCCTAGTACTGTTGATAAAACTACAAAATATCTTCAACAGATAATACTACACCTCTTTGTAGGGGACCAGCAGTTAGCATAATGGCTATGTCACTGGACTCACATGTAGTCGACCACAGTTTGCGTCCCGGACCCAGTGACTTAAAATTCACTCCGGGCGTGTGTGTGTGTGTGTGTGCACAAGATCCCAAGAGGAGAATGGAGCAGAAAGGATTATGGTGTGGCCATTCCCCCCTGGAGGGTGATTTCTCACTTTCTGTCTCTCTGTCTCTCTCTGTCTGGTGAGCACCTGCGCCCTATAGCAAAAACCTCTAAAAAAAAAATACTACACCTCTTTGTGTCATTAATGCTTTGCCTCCCTGTCTCTCCCCCAAATGTCCTTCCACAGACCCTCCTCTTACACACTGTATCTGGCATTTACATCTACATACTGTGTTTCTATATTATTTAGTCAATTAGTTTCATTCATAGAGGGCAGACACTCAGTATATATTAAGTGGGGACATACGATGCCTCTCCTTCATAGCCTGGCTTGCTTCACTCAGCAGTAAGTCTTCCATATGCATCCACTTCCTCTCAAAAAACAGGGTTTTGTTGATTTTTATATGAAACTTTCATGAAATGAATATTATTCATTTCATAATTCCATAATATAGTACTGTGCCTAGCAAAGAATAAACATTACATGTATAAAGAATTATCAGATTATTTATATCCAGGTGCATCTTTGTGCAATTGTGAGAAGCCTATGAATACTCATGTTTCCAAACATAGAACTGGCCCCAAGTACAAATCTAATACATTACCTACAGTATGTTCATTCTACTCAATGAGTTTTATGCCTAAAGTCAGACATGTGTTCATAGATATGTATATATCAGCTGAACTTGCTATTTAAAGTATTACGATATTTCATGAATCAATAAAATGGAAGAAAAAATCTAATACATTACCTTTTAGTATCAAGAAAGATGATCAAATTTTGTAACTTGTAGCTTACACACAGTTTTTGATGCTTAGCTTCTCATTCGTTTACAGCAGCTCTAAACTATCCATGGGACTCTTTCTATTACTATTAGAAATTCTTGGGGCCATCAGGAGTAATGGTTAAAATCCTGGATCCCACATGGCCTGCCATGGTTAGAGTCCTGAACCAGGTGACTTAAAACTCATGCTGGGCATGTGTGTCTGTGTCCAAAATCCCAAGAGGAGTCTAGAGGAGAAGGAATTGTGGTGTGGCCATCCCCCTCAGGGGGTGATTTCTCTGTCTCTCCAGT